GGATGGCCACGATGGTGGCCAGGGAGGCGGTGGTGATGACCGGGGTTTGGGGGTCTAAACAACGAGTGTTGGGGTGCGGTGCTCACGAGAAGCGCGGGATTCGCGATGGAGCGGTGGCTCACGGTGGTGGCGTGCGGTTGACGAGGAGCTTTGGTGGAGGTTGGATTAGGGTGAGGGCTGACTTGGGGGAGCAGGTGAGGGGGCTAGGGCTCGTCGGGAGTGAGGAGGAGATACTGGCCAAGGTTAAGAGGAATGGGTGAGTGAGGTGCGAGAGTTAGGGTTATTTGGGGATAAGTGGCGCGAGATAGGAAAGTAAAAAATGTGGTTGTATATGATAGCGGTTAAATCTTAACCGCTATTATAATAGCACTTCTAATAGCGGTTAAATCCTAACCGCTATTATATAGCACGTCTAATAGCGATTAAATCTTAACCGCTATTATATATTTTTAAATATGATCGATCATTTGATAATGTAATCGATCATAACCAAAAAATGTGGATGTCGCTCGAGCGAGATCGTGTCGCTCAAGCGAAAAACAACCCGAGAATGCCAATTTTGTGCAGGTGGCGTCGCTCGAGCGATACTAGTGTCGCTCAAGCGAAATACAACCCGAGAATGCCAATATTGTGCAGGTCGCGTCGCTCGAGCGATGCTATTTTCGCTTGAGCGAATGTTGACCTGCGTAAACGTCGATCAAAGTTAGCCGGATAATGTAACATGGGAGACCTCACATGTTTGAATCGGATGTCGTTCGAGCGAGTATAGTGTCGCTCAAGCGAAATACAACCCGAGACTTCACAATCTTAAAATATGGTTGTATATGATAGCAGTTAAACCTTAACCGTTATCTAACATACACTTTAGATAGCGGTTAAAGTGGAACCGCTATTATAGCCTCTCAATTATGATCGATCATTTCAAATTATGATCGATCATAATGACAACTTACATTAACTATTTTTTTGAATATTATGTTTTTAAATTTGCTATTAGAGAAAACCTTTCAGAATTCAAAATGTTAAATACTTTTAAATATTAAAATTAACTTTATCAAAAATTAGGAAAAAAAATTAATCCAAAAGAGTTCAAAAATGTATTATAATATTCTCAATTTTGAGTTTTATTATATTGTTTATTCTCAAAGTAGAAAAATTTATTGTAATTATTTTAATTTAATAAAATATAATTTCAATTTTTAATACTAAAATTAAAAGATTAAATAATAATGAATTTAATTCTTTAAATTGAGTATTTAGAAACTAAAATTATAGTTTCTCTGTTTTAAATAATTAAAATAAATAGTTAAAAATAAAAATCAAAACTAGTATTATCTTCAATTTATTAAAAGTGTAATTAAATCTCTATTTTCTTAATTTTTTTTGTTTCAAACTTCTCAATTCTACATTTTTTGAACTTCTATCATTATATTATCATCCTCATCTCCTCCTATGTTCAACTTTATCTTTACAATAGTTAATATTATTAAATAATCTATATTTTTAATTATAATTTTTTAATATATATTTTAGAAATTAATCAATTCTAATCTATTATTTGAAAAACTAATCAATTCTAAACAATAATTTAGAAAACTAATCGATTATAATTACTTATTTGAAAAAATTAGCAAATATGATCGATCATTTAGAAAATCTGATCGATCTGAACCTTAAAATATGGTTGTATATAATAGCGGTTCCACTGGAACCGCTCTTAAAAGAGCACTTCTAATAGCGGTTAAACCTTAACCGCTATCTAACTATATTTTATTGATTTATTGATACATTTTTTTATCAGATATCGCTCGAGCGAGACTAGAGTCGCTCAAGCGAAATACAACCCGAGAATGCCAATTTTGTGTAGGGGGCGTTTCGCTCGAGCGAGACCAGTGTCGCTCAAGCGAAATACATTTTAGATAGCGGTTCCACAGGAACCGCTCTTAAAAGCGCACTTCTAACAGCGGTTAAACCTTAACCGCTATCTAAAATATATTTTAGATAGCGGTTAACTTGGAACCGCTATTATATCGTTTCAATTATGATCGATCATTTCAAAATATAATCGATCATAATGAAAACTTACATTAACTAATTTTTTGAATATTATGTTTTTAAATTTGCTATTAGAGAAAACCTTTCAGAATTCAAAATGTTAAATACTTTTAAATATTAAAATTAACTTTATCAAAAATTAGGAAAAAAATTTAATCCAAAAGAGTTCAAAAATGTATTATAATATTGTCAATTTTGAGTTTAATTATATTGTTCATTCTCAAAGTAGAAAAATATATTATAATTATTTTAATTTAATAAAATATAATTTAAATTTTTAATACTAAAATTAAAAGATTTCTGTTGCATGAGGTTTCTTCACTTAAAAGATTTTGCAAAATGCCTCTAAAAATGTTTTTAACAATTAAAAACAAAGTATTTTGACAAAAGCTTTCTCAAACAAGTTTTTAACCGATACTGACTTTGATAGAACCGATTAAAATTACTTAAAATGTCAAGTGAAATGTTTTTACAATATTTTAATCGATACAACTTGATTTTAATCGATTAAAACCTCTTAAGGGTTCAGGATAATCGATCAGAATGCAATTATGACCGATCAAAATTAGTTATGATCGATCAGAATTTAGTTATGACCAATTAGAACTTTTTTAATCGATTAAATCTCGTTTCAATCGATTAAAACAACTTAAAAATTTCTACACGGCATTTTAATCGATTAAAACTTATTTTTATCAGTTAAAATAACTTGAAAAGTTTTACAATAAAGTTTTGCAAGTATTTCAATCGATTGAATCGCGAAATAATCGATTAAATCAACTTAGAAGATTTTTGTAAAGTGTTTTAATTGATATAAACGTTGTCGTATCAGTTAAAACAAATCTATTAAAGAATCAAGAACGTATTAATGGATTAAAAGAAGTTTTAACAGATTAAAACTGCACTTTTAACAGATTAAAAGAATCTTTTAACAGATTAATTAAACCAGCAATTTTGAAAATCTTCTATAAAAACAGTTTGGCTTGAACTTTTTTAACATACATTGAATATCATCTTTTACACATCCTTGAGCAATCAATCAAGCAAACTTCAAGCACTCTTTTCAAGAAAGATTCGCATCAGCTTTTGAGAAGTTCTTTGAAAATCTTTCTTGAGGCAACTTTATTTCTTTTGAAGAAGAAACACTTACAAGCATAATTGCATAAATCTGGTTTGAGCATTCTAGTTTCTTCTTTTTCATTTCTTTACATTCTTTTTGTATTGTTTGGTGCTTGGAATTTGGGCACTCGGTTTCTCTGCAGTTGGAATTTGGTTGTAGAGGTTATTAAGAGCTGGAATTTGGTAATACGAGAAAACATTTCAGAAAACAAAATGTTAAATACTTTTAAATATTAAAATTGACTTTATAAAAAATTAGGAAAAAAAATTAATCAAAAAGAGTTCAAAAATGTATTATAATATTTTCAGTTTTAGTTTAATTATATTTTTCATTCTCAAAGTAGAAAAATATATTGTAATTATTTTAATTTAATAAAATATAATTTAAATTTTTAATACTAAAATTAAAAGATTAAATAATAATAAATTTAATTCTTTAAATTTAGTATTTAGAAACTAAAATTATAGTTTCTCCGTTTTAAAAAATTAAAATAAATATTTAAAAATACAAATCAAAACTATTATTATGTTAAATTTATTAAAAGTATAATTAAATCTCTATTTTCTTCAATTTTTTTAATATAAATTTTTAAAATATAATTTAATTTCAATTGAAATTTTCAATTGAAAAAATTCAAGAATATTTGTTATTAAACTTTTCTTAAACAATGTATTGAATAGTTAACATCACTCTAGTCTTAATTTATTACAATTTAAATTTTTAATAAATTTGATTTATTACAATTCATTTTGTTAATATTGAGACCAAAGTTTATTTTTAAAGTATATTTTAAAAATTAAATTATTTTTTAAAAATAAATTACTTTTAAAAAATAATTTGTAAAAAATATACTAAAACAATTAAAGTATATTTATAAAAAAATAAATTTAAATATAATAAAAAAATAATATTCATTAGTGACCGATTTCAATTCGATCGCTATTTTCTCATTAGTGATCGATTTTAATTCGGCCACTATTTCAATTTATAATTAGGTCGCTAAATCAGTCGCTAAATGATTTTTTTATTTTAGTATGAAATAGCCATCGATTTACCGATCGAAATTTTGCGACGCAAAATATTGGTCGCTATTTCGATCGCTATATAAAAAAGTGCTATATAAAAAAGTGCAAAATAAATCATATTTTGGTCGTTGAATCGGTCGCTAATTGCGACCAAATTAAAGTGGTCGCTAAATCGGTCGCTAATTGCGACCAAAATTAAATCGGTCGCTAATTGCGATCGAAAAAATTCGGTCGCTAATTTCGGTGGCTAAATATGTTTTATCTTGTAGTGTTTCAGTAATTTCGTTTTCTTGAATAATGTTTCACAAACATTTAATAAGCATTGATATTTTCTTCTAATAATACTATTTTATTGAGGAGTTTTAACACAACTTATTTCATGATTTTAATTTATCATTCTCAATAAAAATAATAAAATTTTACAATAAATATTTTACGTCCTACTTAGATTTTATCACACCTCTGGTTGAATACCTTAACATGAAAAAAGAAATTTTTAAATTGAAATTGTGTTACAAAATATAATATAAATTACTAAAATTGTACTTTTTAAAAAATTTATTCATTTCAGTAAATTTTAAGAAAATTTTCTGATAATATAATTTAATTACGTTAATGATTGCATAAAATTTTACCTAAATAGATAACCATTTACCAAAGGTGTACCTGCTAAATGTGAATTCGTACCGAATATTATATACTAATGTATCAGAATGATTACAGTTCAACACATGAAAGAATCAATGTCTAAAACTAATCCAATTCAATTCAATAATAATACTACATATGACTCAAGAAAATCAATGTCTGTCTTTCATGTTTTGTGATCTCATTCTGGTACCCGATATTCCTCTCTTTTGTGCCATTCGTCTTCGAGACCTTGTCTTCACCTCAATCATTTCCTCCTGCAACTTACTTCCCCTCCATCTCTCATGATCAACACCAACACTCATGACTTTGCTTCTCTGACCCAATTCAGTGTCGTACTGTTCTCGGAGCCTTGGATTGGACAAGGTCTTGTAAGCAGCATTTAACTCCACAAACATCCTCGTAGACTCCTCTTTCATGGAGGGATCGTGGCACACATCAGGGTGGTACTGAAGAGCCATGGATCTATAAGCCCTCTTAATCTCATCCATTGTTGCATTTCCTGGACTCACTGACAGTACTTTGTACAAGTTTTCTTGGGTTGTGACTCTGCATGAAACTGCACCAAACTTCACATTAGAAACTCTTTGCTGTTTAGAGAGTGGAAGGCCATGAGATTGAAAGGGTTTGCACATGCTTAGGCTTGAACTTGAGCTTAAGGACAAAACATCCATTGCTCTTGTTAGTTGTATGTACCAAGCTATAGATAATATATATATCTTGATCTGTGAGGATGAGTGTGGAAAATGGATATGGAACTCACTTGTATTTATATTTGGTGAGAAGGTTGAGAAAGAGCTTAGGTGTTGCTGTGAAGAAGCTTAGATAGTGCTTTGAACACGTGATAATGGCTACTATATTAGTTTACGTTGATTATTTTGTATATTTTTATGGAGGTACGTTGAATGTTCAAAGAAAAGTAAAGGATTAGGTTTTTCTGGACCAAGTCAAAGTCATCATGATAGGGGTATGATTGATGTATAAAATATGAATAGAGAGAAAATGTGAAGGAAGTATACAGCTAGCAACCATGTTTGACTGATGCAGTCAATGTGCATGTTTATTTTGGAATCTGGTTTAGTCGGCTGTAGGGTCAAAAAGTTGTGTTTTTCAGTTGGATAAATTAAAGTACTGCAAATATTAGTTCATTTTTTATGTATATAACATTATCCAATATTTTATCTTAATTATTGTTGCAAAATATACTGATATAAGATATTTGAAGAAAGAATTGGGTGATTTAAGATATTTTTGTCTAATTTTTATTTAAATGACTTAATATTAATATTAATAATAATAATTACAAAGTTTCACAATTATATTAAAAAATAGTGACATTAATAGTTAATTAAACAAGAAAATTATCAAAGAAAATTATTGTTAGGGTAAATTTCATCATAGATGTCTTATATTTTTTAATAATAAATATAATTATGATCTTTTTTATGTTATTTGCAATTTTTAAAATTAAATTTTTAATCATTTAAATTCTTCATCAATAATTCCTTTTTAATAATTTCTAAGTTATTAAAAATATTCGGTGTGAGGTGCTTGTGTACGAATATATGTCTATCCATCACGTAATCAATGTTTATAGAGTACTGGGAAGACTCTTATATAAGTATAGAGAAAAAATTAATTAAAAAGGAAATATCATATTATTTAACTAGTAGTCTACCTAATTATCTATCATACAATGTGTTAAACCACTTCATGTTATATTATCTAATGTATCTATCAAATTATTTATTTATAATTATTTATTATTATAATTATCTTAAAGATTTTAAAATTATTGTCATTATTCTTAACCATAACTTCAAATTTAAGAAGTATTTCTCATCGTTATTTTTTTTGGTATTTTTTATCCTATTTATTAACTCCAAATAACATTTGAACTGAAATCTTGGTATAGACTTTGTACACATATGTAAAAATCAAATAATCTTTAGATATTATCTTCTAAATCCTTAACTCCCAACACTCCATCCAATGTGTAATCAAGTGTTGTTTGATATCAATGTTTTAGTCCTTTCATGGTATATTTGATGATTAGCTAAATTTATAAACTTCAATTATCACAATAAATAGTCACATAGTATTGTATTATACTCAAATTTTCTATTATCTTCTTCTACCATAGAGACTTTCTACTATGTATGTTCAAAGTATTATCTATATATATAAATCATTTAATATCTCCTCGTCAAGAGTGTATTGACTACCATGAATAGAATGTATATATATATCCTACCAAATGATATCATTTCAATCACCTATTTCAAAGCCTCTCAATGAGTTTGTCCATTCTCTATTCTAACACCTTTAATTTATTATCTTGTTGATTTTCCATCATGGTATGTCATTCCTTAAACAACTAAAAAATTTCACTCTTACTTTTAAATATGTTTATCCACATCCTCCTTGAGAAATCGTTTGAAATAGTAAAAAATGAAACCCTTCTTTATGAGTTTGAGTTCGTGTAAGACCCTAAAACTAAAATAAATAAATAAATAAATGTTTACATGTGCTTATGCTAGTCTAACACTTCAATCTATGAGACTTTATCGTACACATTGATCAGATAATTTGTATTTCTTTAAACTATCATCTCCGAACCCGTTATACTTTTCCAACTCCCCCAAAACTGCCTCATTTACATGTCCAACCTTAGATGTCACAATTTTTTCTTGTCTTATATTATATTACTAGTCATAAATGAATGTGCGCTCAATGTTGAACCATCAAGAATGTAAAGATCATTTTGTTTGACTCCCTTCCCGAATCCTATTTGAAATTTGTATCATATCACGTTCAATCTTGATTGACACACCCAAAAGATTGAACATTACTTATTGACAAAATATTTATTTTCAACTCTAGAACAAACCTCACATTATGCAATAACATTTTCTAGTGTCAAACATTCTCAATTTGATTGACCACTTGTCTTGAACCTTATAGGTTATATTTTTCTTAAAGTGAACCACACCTCCTTGCTTTAGTTCAAACATCACAAAAAATTCTCCTCGGAGAACATATGTGATAGAACTCAAGTCCATGATCCAACTCCTTTATGTATTTTGGATTGATGTCATCAAGATCCTTATATATCAACATCTACTAACTCTCTGATAAGAGGAGAGAACTCAATTTTTCTTCGGGACAATTCCACCTTGTGACCTTTTTTCAAGCAACTATAATACTTATGTCATTGTCCTTTTTTATCTCCTCTACATTCTCTTCTAAAGACTTCTTGAACTTCTTTCCCCTTCCCCCTTCTTATTGTTTTTTAACTTTGAGATACCAAAGTCAACCACATTATCATAATTCTTGGACTCTTGAACCATTTGGAGCTCCTTAGTCTGAATTGAGGTTCAAACCTCCTCCAAAGCAATGTTTTGTTCCATCTTGAAAATTAATGTGAACATGAAATTTTTTAAATGTTCTAAATAATGCATTAAGAAGAAGCAAAAGAGCTATTTCCATTTTCAAGTTTTATATCAATATTCTCAAGATCATCCAATATCTTGTAATAGTCCATCAACTATTGTCCCATATGTTGACAATTCAAGGACTTGATGTTGCACTTGATGAATATGAAGAATGGATTTTGATGATGATCCAAGAACTAAAGACTTAGAATATTGAAGATTGAAGATTGGTGATAATTATATTGTAATAACTCTGTTTTATTTAAGATTGAGTCTGTATTTTTAGAGTCTAAGATAGCCGGTACATAGTCTGTAACTTAGAAGCTTCAAAAAGCTCAAATTTATCATTTAGGCTCGGCTTTAATCGATTATATAGGTAAATAATCGATTAAAACAGTGAGAAAACACTTTCTATACAAACTCACTGTTTTAATCAATTAAAACAGCAAAATAATCGATTGTTTTGTACTGTTCCGTACAGATAATCGATTATTTCACCAAATAATCGATTATTCCAGAGAGGTTTGGGTTCTGACGTATTTGGCTCTGTTTTAATCGATTATCACTCCAAATAATCGATTATTTCAGTCTGTTTTTTATTTTAAATTTTAAATTAACCCTATTTTCGAAAATCCAATTACCAAGAACCCTAGTTTCGAAATCCCCAATTCCTAAACCCTAATTTCCCTACTTAAACTCTGCTTTGGCACTCAGAAAAAGAAGAACAACTCTTTCCATACAAAAGTTAAGTGTTGTGAGTGCCAGAGAACTGTTTGTTGCAAGGAAAGGGGGCTTTTGGAACCTGGTGTGAGGCTAGAAGCGATAAGAATCACTAAGTGGAGTTCTTAGTGGATTGTGTGCTGTGCCGTCTCTAGGGAAAGCTGTTCTTCATCTCTTGTGGATTTCAAGAGAGGTGTTTTCTGATCTTTATCTGTTCATTTGTAATCTGTTTGTAACAATTTGTTCTTAGTGACAGCGTTAATCCTCTTTTGAGTGATTAGCAACTGGACGTAGGGTCTTTTGATCCGAACCAGTATAAACCTACTGTGTAATCTTCTCTACTCTTCTCTATTTACATTTACGCAGTTTTTAATCGGTAAAATTTGGGGAAAATTTTGAAAACCTAATTTTTATTAAAAATCCAATTCACCCCCCCTCTTGGTTTTTGTCCGACCACGCGAACATTCCGCTGCGCGATTCTAACAAGTGGTATCAGAGCTTGCTTTGATAGTCATTCAAACTTTTCAAAAATGGCCGGACAAAATCAAACTTTTGCCGAATGTGCGTCTATCAACAGACCCCCACTTTTTGCGGGTCAAAATTATCCTTTTTGGAAAGTACGTATGCAAATATTTTTAGAGTCTGTTGATAGAGGCGTTTGGGACGCAATTTTAAATGGTCCATTTGTTCCTAAAACTACTGAGAACGGTGTTGACGTTCTTAAACCTATTTCTAGATGGACTGCAGAAGAAAGTCGAAAAGCACAATTTGATGTTAGGGCTAGAAACATTATTTCATCTGCTCTAACCCTTGATGAGTTTTATAGAATTTCAGTTTGTAAAAGTGCACAGGAAATGTGGGAAATGCTAAGGGTGACCCACGAAGGAACTGACGACGTCAAAAGAGCACGTAAAAATTCTTTAATCCAAGAATACGAGATGTTCCAGATGCAACCCGGCGAAACAATTTTCGACGTTCAAAAGCGTTTCACTCATATTGTGAATCATCTCACCGGATTAGGTAAAGTATTTGACGTTGATGAATTAAATGTTAAAATTTTGAAATCTTTGGATAGGAAATGGCAACCTAAGGTGACGGCCATCTCGGAGTCACAAAATCTTGCCACTATGTCTATGGCGGCGTTATTTGGAAAGCTTAGGGAGCATGAACTTGACCTTGGAAGACTAAATGAGGAAGAGGGTCAATATCAAAAGAAGAACCTAGCTTTCAAGACCGAGATTTCAAAAAGCAAAAATAAGAAAGAAGAAGAAGAAGACTCCGAAATTGATGAAGAAGAGATAAGTCTTTTTATAAAGAAGTTCACCAAGATGATGAAAGCAAAAGGAAGACATCCTTTCAAAGGTAAGGGAAAGGTAAAAGAAAATTCTTCCGTTAATATAAAATGCTTTGGTTGTGGTGAAGCAGGGCATATGAAGACCGAATGCCCAAACAAGAAAAATGATGAACACAAGGGCAAAAAGCAATTCAAGAAGAAAGCATATATTGCTTGGGATGACAAT